TTATGTGATGAAGCTGATGTGAAATATATATAGCCTAATTGTAATAATTTGTGTAAGAAAGTGTTTCACAATAATATTGTATTAACTGCTTACAGTTAAAATTCAACTTGGTGTATTTTTTTTAAAGAAAGTTCCACTTCCAAGAGTAAAATGTGCTGTAGGCCTACTGCATTATGGATAATTCAGCTTGTTTTCTACAGCTCACTGAGTTGGTTCAGTCAACACAATCACATTGCATTTTTTCACTATTGTTTGGATATTCTCTATAAGAAAACTGTGGAATTAAGCATTGATGTAGGCCTATGCAGTTACGTTTTTCTTTCATGTAATAACTCATATTATTTAATCCGATCTTTTAGGTTATCTAACTTTTAAACCATTTTGGTGAGGATCGGGTACTGTATGAAGCATAAAGTGAAATTCCAAACACATTATATGGTTTGTTTCAGCTGCTGTGTATGATAGGAGAAGCATTTGACGAGTGGGGTGACGAGATATGTGGTGCTGTTGTCAACATTCGAGGCAAGGCAGACAAGATCGCTCTGTGGACTGCTGACGCTTCAAAAGCCAAGTCCGAAGCAGTAATAGCCATCGGGTAAATATTTGGGTTTTTACTTAGACTTAGTATCTCTCAGACTTCAGTGAGAAAGGGACGGTTTTGATTCCCGGAATATCCACAAAACATTACATTGGTTTGGATTGGACCGCTTTCCCTTGAAAGCCAATATTCCAACACTTCTGTGCTACCCGTAATTGAACATTTCATATTTTATTAACTATGATATTTTATGGGGAAAATAAAAAAAGTAGCAATCACTTTTTACAGCATTGGGGGGTCTGTACCATTTTTTAAGTGTTGAAATTACCATAACATACTAAATTTAAATCAAAATTGTTAAAGCTGTTTTCCTGAAAAATAAATTTGTCTTTAATTTTATGTATTTGTAGCCTAATAAAAAATTGCCATTTAGAATCAAAATTTGAAAAAAAAAACACCTGTAGATCTCATGGATTACTGGATTACCCACATATCTACTAAATTTCATAAAAATATGGACCACAGGGGTAGTCTGTAGTGTGTACACATCCACACATACACATCACTTTGAAAATCTCTTTTTCGTGTTCAAGCAAGACAACACTAAATAAACAAGCTGTAATGCTCCTCTGTCATGACGTCATCGTAGGCGACGGCAATGACGTAACGTTTGCTGTTTGTGATCAGCTGCTTGTTTTAATCTTTTCTTGGAAAACAAAAATTTAACTAAAAAAATATCATTACGTCATTGACGTTGGCTATGATGACATCATGCCAGATGAGCATTACGGCCTGTTTATTTAGTGTTGCCTTGGTTCAAAGGGGCTCAAAATGGATATTACCACAGGAAACTCAAACTTTAAAATCTTGACAAAAACAATACTTTGTCCAAAAAAGGTTGGGTAATGCTTCTTTTAATTTCTTATTTGCCCATTCACGTTGGATTCAAAGGCGTGGATGTACATAGAACCTGTCAAGGAAAAACAGGTCTTTGACTTGGTCGTCTGTCAACCCTTAAGTCTAACCCAAATTTATTTGCCAAAAAATAACAATAACTTGTCTCTTTTGAATTTCAGAAAGAAACTTAAGGACCGATTGAAAATTGGACCCAAGATGCAGATCGGCTATCAGATTCACAAGGACACAATGGAAAAATCTGGCTCCGTCGCAAGAAATACGTACACCGTTTAATGTTATGATATCAAGCTAGTTTTTGTTTTATTTAAAGACTCAACACTCCCTTTGTTTTATTTTCTGTTTGTTGTCTTTTACGTCAAAGTTTTTTATACCTCGGATAGTGTTATTGTGTAGTAAAGTTCCAACAGTGATGTTAAGTTCTCCACTTAAAAAGTAGAGATCAGCGTGCAGTGACCAGAATGAGCTGCTGAGGTATAAAAATGTGCTCATCGTTCAGAAGTTTTATTTTTTTTACTTTACTATTTTTGCAAATCTTAAATGTTCTTTAAATTGCTTCTTTGTTACTAGGAGAATCTTAGTACTGTTTCTACAATACAAGTTATACTATATACTGGATGTACCAGTTAAAGAAAGACTGAAACTTAAATAGGCTACAATTGATTCATGTACCAAGAAAATATACTAGTGACTAGAGTAATATTCGAGGGAAATCGTCATTTTGAAAATTTAAACTGAAAGAACTTGTATGAATTGTGCTGTTAAGATTTATTAGTCATTTGATTCAAATGTTATACTAGTTTTTGTTTAACAGTGTGATTTTTCTTTTTTAAGCTTTAATTAGGAATCTTGAAAATTGTCCTCAGATTATTGTAAATAATGAAATGATAAATTAAAATAATCTTCCAGCGGTTCTAATAAAGGTTTTCTGCTAGACTGATACTAGTTTACTTTATCCTCTATAAGTTTAGTTTATATTATAAGCAATCAATATAATACAATTTACAGGGTATCCAGCATGATTGATGATTGCTCATAATCACAGCCACATTGCTGATCACATCATCTTGTAACTATAGCAACATCCATAACTATCTCCTGTGATCATGTCACCACCTCTGATTATATCCCGCAATGATTTCTTGCCATGTTGGAAACATCAACTATCATATCGGTCCCACAAATGCAGCGATGTGATAGTTACACACGACCATCGCAAAGCCCAGCAGCTTCGTTTGTAAGCGTCTCATACAATCAATGATTTACATACATTTTCGTCTTTGAATTTTTCCAACCAATCTTTATGAAACTTAGCAAGTTGTTAGTGGCATAGCCAGGTTTGGAGCACCCTGAAGCGGAAATTGCTTAACCACCCCCTCTCCCAAACATCACCACACTCATATTATACATAATATAGTATATTTATATCCTTCCGGTTTTGCCATGGATAAAACATACTCTCTTAGTATATTTCACCCTTATGAAGCAGCTGAAGCCAATTTTATTGTTAGTTCTGTCTGGTGCACTCTAGAGGTTGTGTTTTGTTTCTTGTTATTTCAGTAATTTACAACCTCGTTTATCCAAATAAAACGATCTTCTCATAAACAATAACTCGTCCCCTAGCTGCAATTAACTCGTCGCAAAAATTTTGTCGACACTAGCGATTAGTTTCACAGGACATGAACTAGACACAAAAAACGAGCTTCAAATTTTAAAATGAGATGAGAAGTCTACCTAACTAGTTGTTTTAGTGGTTTTGCGGATGTTTTGTTGTTAAGCACTTATAACGAGCGCAAATAACCCATCAGTGGCTGACGTGCAACAGGACAAGGTCCGCCCCTACAGAATCGATCAAGCACTTATAACAACACAACTATGTCAATTTTCAATTAAATATAAATTATATAATTAATATACTAGGCCTAGTAGTTAATATATTTCGGCACTCTATGGTGCCATCTTCAGACTGACTCTAAAGATACGGTATTAAGATTGAGTGCCAAATATATTATTACTAGCTGTACCCGTGAGCTTTGCCCCGTTTAACTTCATAAGTGAGCTTGTTCGCATGGCTCAATCACGTCCTGGTTGAAGTTTGTTTGCTACGCTCACTCACCTTTAGGTTGGAGCTTGTTTGCTGCGCTCACTTGCCTTCAGGTTAGCTCGTTCGCTACGCTAACTCGCCTCCAGGTTGAAGTTCGTTCGCTACGCTCACTCACCTTTTGGTTGCAAAATAGTGCTGCACCCTGTTGGTAATCCTTGTAACTAATGCTATTGAATATCATAGAACAGAACCAACTTGTTTATTCATGTTGAAGCCTTCCGGAATTGGTAATCAATTATAACAGGTTACGTACCTTGACGTCCACAATTCCTTAGTCGGTATCCGTTGACTATAGTTTCGACTACATAGTAGTCGGCTGTCAACGGATACCGACTAAGGAATTGTGGACGTCAAGGTACGTAACCTGTAATAATCAACTTGTTTAATTGAAACAGCTGTTAAGATTAATTTATTCCATTTAAATATGAGTACTCATAAGGTTAACATGGGAAACTCCAGAGCCACTGGTGCGGAGCCCGAGAGTCTGATAGATAATATGCAGTGTGTTAAAAAAAGTCCCGGAACGGCATAATATGTTGTTAACCAACATAGATACGGCAATACTTATTTGTATCTAGATATTAATAATGAAAACCAACCTTTTAAAGCAATTATCAATATCCTTCTCTTCCAGGGGGACGGCCTACAAGGAGTTGGAAGAAAATCTTTAATGTAAGCATAGGTTGATATGCACGTCAAAGAAAAGGTCTTTACTAGTAAAAAAATGGAGCCCTGAGTACTTGAAACCACAAGACATTTTGGTGGTTTTACATTATTATCTTTGTCTTCTGTATGGTTTGTATGGATATCGTCATCTTCCTTAAAATCATACCTCTTCTCTTATTTCTATTCCGTGTGGGTTTCGGCACCATGTCATTAGATTAATTATTAAATAATTATACTGAACTCAAGAAAGGTTGTGTATTTCTAATTTAACAAAAACTCAATCAAAATATAAAACAATAACACAAAACATATGTAGTACTACTGTCAGTAACGAGTGAAAGACTAACAATGGTAACAACGGTAAGGGATAATGCGTCACGACTGGATGGATTCAGTGTCTAGGCTTTCTAGAAGTGATTACTTGACACCTTAAGGCCTGATCGTGGTTCAGAAGTACCTAAATTATTTGCCAAAACAACAACAAAGAATTACTATATGCAGGTACAAGTATAATTCAGTAATCCGGAGGCTAAGCAACTCTTAGAAATATAAGTTGCGAAAGTTTGGCACTTGCCTAAAGTTGTAAAAACATTCTACACTTATAATTCAAAGATTTTAGCAAAAATTATACCCAGTAATTATTGTTTTCGCACACTAAAAAGTATTAATTATTTCCTAAAATACAAATAAAAGGATTCAAACATAGATAAAACTGAGTGATGTTTTTGTATTGTTTATTTACATTAAAATACATTATACAATAATTTACAGTACAAAGGAACAACAGTCTTGTTTTCCAGTCTTGCATACATGGCTTGGTACAAATGAAGAAATATTAGTGACAACTTTACCTTTCCTGGACAAGTAAGTGATATATTTGTTTAAGGCCCAGGATCAATGGATGAGTCGTGCTCTTGCGACTAGGTATTTAAGCAACGCTACACGTCAATGGGAGACGTTCGGTTCAACTTTTGAGGGGTTCGCGACTAGATGTCATCCCAAGTGATATGGTCCCTTTGGTGATATGTTGCAGATTGAGAACGGAAAGCGGATATTTTTGTCAATTCTGCAAAATGACTTTGGTATTTGTACAAGAACCATCTGGTTTGTGCTACTATGATGCCCCTTTTTCAAGCTTTAAGGAATTACTTTAACATTGTACATGACATACCCCATACATTATAATTTACAAGAAATATTTTTATGTGAACACCTCTCTAGGGCAAAAGTCTTGCTCAAATTTACCATAGGTCTACAATATTTTAAAAGATAATCTCTTTCTTAAATTATAAAGACAGCAGTAGATACATTTGCCATGTTTCTTAATATTTCGGTGGCAGATACTTTAGCCCAATTTTTTTATTGTTGTACAAACAAAATATAAACAGTCATAAGTTATTTCTTTTAGTAGGATTGTGTAAAAATAGTAAGAAAATAAAATATTTTTTCTTTGTTTCACACATTTTTGCCTGTCTTAAGCCACATGACCCATCTGTGCTGATGGGCTAAGGTCATCTATTCTCATCGACAAATAGTCTATTCTTAATTACCATCAAGTCAACCTTTTAACTAATTGTCAAAGCCTTAATACAGTACCAAGTACAGTAGACCCCCTTTTAACCACCTTGCATCAACCAATTATCCGCCATTGCTTGTAAAATATTACAGTTTGTTTAAACCTTTTTTGAGAGCAGTTCGGTTTAACCGCTGCATTCTAGGAATCTCGGCATTTCTGCTCCCACGCTTGGCGATGGGAACAATACGCTAAACTCTAAGGATGTTACTAAGAATAAGCTAATTTGTACTGAGCTAATTTGTTCATGATTGTATCATTGATAAGCTAATTTGTATTTATCCTTTCTGTGACTCAAGCCTACAAAATGGTTGCTTGTATCTTAAATTTTGACAATAAGTTCTGTACAGAATTACAATAAATATGGAAAGCATAAATTACTAAAGGGATTATAGAATTTTTATTGACTCTATCTACGAGTATAATTTATTCCACTGAAAGTATTTTACTTTACCGTGTTTTTGAGTTTATTTGTGACTTTTCTATGGTCCAGACTTCAGAATAATGGTTATATAATTCCAAATGAATAGCATTTCATTTTTTTTAGTTTTTAGGGATTACTCGTTTTAACCAAACTTTTGAGTTATCCGACCTAGGTCCGGTTCCGTTAGGTTAATAAGGGGGTCTCTACTGTACTGAGGTACAGTATCAGGTATACAGTAGATATAAAGTCAATGACAGTAACAAACAATTCTAGGAAACTTGAGCACAGTGGAATAGCAAAAAAATATAAAAAATTTAAATAACAAAAAAAATTGAATAAATATTTTGAAGACATTGAAATTTTGTTAGCTAACTGAGTTACAATGTTCCTTTCTTTTAAACATTGGTAAATGTTACTTGTATCGCTTAAAGAAGTATGAATCTCCACTTCAATAAAATACTTATATACTTTATTTGCAAGACGAATTAGCTTTATAATACAGTACTTTAAAGTTGCGGCAGTCCCTTTGTAGTAAAGATTCTTACCTAACCATAATATAAAGTGGTATATTGTTAGTCCTATCATATCCCAACTATTAACTTGAGGATTTTCCACAATTTCGTCATTTTTAAACCAGGATAAAATTACATAAGGAGTTTTCTTAAGACAGTTTAGCAAGAACCATTTTACACCCTTAGACTGAATTGTTTTGATGAGCAATAAAATGTCATAGAAAGTTAGTAGCATACTGTCGAATAAAACAGCAATCGCGAACAATCCACAATATATCAGTACACCACTGATAAAAGTGACATTAAAGTTTACAAAAAATTCATGGATGTTGTAAATTACCAAGGTCACAACTAAAAATATAATAAAAAACAATGTGATAGATATAACACCTTTTTGAACAATAGGCAAAACAGGCCTAATTGGTTTTTTATCCATTTGGTCTCCACTAGATAGGGAATTTCTTCTTTTCGACATGTTGCTATCAGTTTCACACATCCAACCTGCCAAAAAAAGAGCATTACTTTGAAAGTGTTTAATCTGCAGTCAAACTGACTAAGGGCGGGTTAGTTATGTTTAAGCTGCTTAGACTGTGAAAGTAAAGTCTGCACTACTTGTACTTACCAAGGAAAGAACCCCTATGGACAACATTAATTATGTGGTTGGTTAGAGCTCGTGCGTTTCCTGGTGAAGCCTGAGGGTAGGTGGTTATAGTGGCTCTTAACCGGTTTTGTATGGGGTGGGGATTCGCCAAAAATCAGTCTGCGCTCTCAACCTGTACGAGCAACATCGCGGATACAATCTTTTTCAAAAACATTTGGGATGTCAGTTCGATTATCTTAAAACTTTATTTTAAATGGTAGAAAAAGGAGGATAGCAGCTAGCTTACCTTGAAAGAAGTGTGGGTAGGCCATAGAACAAGTAGAAAAATATTTTGCACACAATATTTTGTCCCCTAAGGGACTTTGTCAAGTGTAGAGAGAGTTTATAAATTACAAGATGGCTGCTTTCATGGCTGATGGCTGTTGTCAACTATGCAGGGTTGCCACATCTCATTAGTCTATTTACAACTATGTACACAACTTTATATATACACACACATATAATATTTTATATAAAAACTAGGCCTATTATGTATTTAGCTAGCTGCTTGGACAGGTTTATCTTAGGTTAAGGTTGGGGGGAGTTCTGGAGTTGGTTATATACTGGAATGCCAGTTCCCACCTTCTTAACATGGAAGGGTTGCATTCATCCTTTGGAAGGGATTTTATTACTTTAGTTGTGAAGCAACTATCAAAGTCCATGTTGTGATTGTTGGCATGGATGGGTGGGGGAGCGCGCCATGTCATGTTTATTGTTTCAATGTGAGCTCAGCCATTGTCGGGGAACGTTGTAATCTTTACCAGCCTGTAGCTTATAATGCGAGCTTTATTCTGGTGTAGGTTGGTACAAAAATTGCCCGTAAAATCCCGTCTGGCAATGCTTTTGTCCCGTTTTCGGGGATTTTCTCAGTTCGAGCCGTATTACAAAGACTCTGGTTATTGATCCAGGCAGTGCTGCTACCTTTGGGTGTTTCAGTGAACTACGTCCACTTTCGGAGTAACGCAGAACAATCACCAATGCTCTTTTGTGATTCGTCTTACTGAGATATTTCAATACCAATAGCGATCGCTGATTCAGTTAGCGCGTCGGGGCTCCGCCCGGGCCTCGCCGCCATTGGCGAGCGCCTGTTTAAAGGTTTCAGCAGCGAATGTGTTAAGTTTGATTAATTTAGTCAATTAGCAGCAAAATAAATACATTGTAAAAAACCATTGAAATCAACTAGTATTTTGAGTAGGTTGAGTCAAATTAATCCATGGTTTTGGTAACCTAATTTTAATAACCATACATATTTTTAGACACCTAAGCAAATCAATTCTCTGGTTCTTCGTGCTGCATTCTATGGACATATATGTCTTTTATGAGATTGCATGTCTTTAGCTTGCCTGAGAGTGTGTAATGAAAGTGTAAAATGTCACAAATAAGTCTTGAATAAATTACCAAAAGAGTCTAATCCAAAAACTACCTTCCCACAAAAACTACCTTCCCACTTTATTGTTTGTCACAAAATGCTAAAAAGGGCTCACACTTATTTGTGAAAGCAACAACAGTAGTGGGTAGTTAAATTAGTGTAAGCTTAAAATGAGTATGGCAGTAGAAGATGTACAAACCTTCGTAAAGTTGGTTAACAATCTCATTAAATAAGTCAGGAATAGAGATGGCCATCAGATCTTCATCACCAAAATGATCAAGAAAGTTTAGAGGCTTTACTGGGGGTCTGGACACCTTCTCACCATCTAAATCAAATCAAACCAAATTGTTTATTAAGCCAGATTAACAATAACACAGACATTGCATTAGCCACACTAATACAAAGCAAACATTTTTTAGATTTAGTTAAACAGAGATAGTACTAAAAAAAAAAATACCCCCGCCGCAGCAAACCTGCCGACTAAGCGAATTTCCATTTGTCTGAATTGATTTTCAATTAAATCTACTTAAATTACATAAGTTTTAGTGAGTACCTAGGGTTGCTGCTACAAGGAAACTAATAAAGTGTGTTTTTTGGTAAAATATTAATAGCTTGGTATAAAATAAATAAATTTGCCAAGTTTGATCAAAATATATCCATAAACAAGCAAACTACAAAGTTTACAATATTCTCCATAAGAATAACATGGGAATTTTAAATTTACAATCTTTTGAATTTTCTCCATTACCAATAACCGTACAAAAACACTTTGATATAGTAATTTTTTTTTTTTTTTTTGAGCTCTTTAAAAAGGGCTAGAGAGAAATCGGGAAATTTTGTGTTTTGAGGGTCAAAAATGAGAAAAACCAATTTATACCCCATAAAACCCCGTTCCCATGGTCCGATCATGCTGGTTCGCGAACTCATTCAAGTTTATCCCTCCTTACACCTTTAAACCAAATTTTATCAAAATCGGACAAAAATTACTCAAGTTATCACGTTCACGGACACATATATATATAAATCTTTAAATATATATATACATATATACAAATTTGAACGAATGGTGTTTTTGGCCTCTGGGTGTATCAAAATAAAAAAGTAAACCGGTCCCGGGCCTAGGTCTTACCATGCCACATACGGTAATAGCTACTATAGGGAAATTCGCTAAAACAAAATAGAACCCATTGTGGATTTGCTAACTGTAATATTTGGATTTGAAAAGTGTTTTGTCTGAGTAAAAATATATATTTTTTTTTTATACGAGTATAATCTTAAAATTAAATTTATTTAATCCAGTCATCAACTGTATAATTATATATCTATATTAACCCAGTAACCTAACGCATTTTACCTTGCATGAAATGGGGTAGTAGGTTGCTAAATCCAAATTTTCGACCTCGGTGACCTTCCGGATCACCTCCAAAAAGCCTAACACATTGAGAGCTATGCCTCTTCAAGGTTCATAAAATCTTCCCTAAATGCTTGAGTTTTAAGTTTCAAGCTATTAAGTTTTATAAAAGAACCACAATAAGAAATAAACTATTTTATTTCATCTCAAGAACAGATTGTGTTATAAAATTTGTTTATGGAAATAAATCTATTGTATCTATCTACATAGACACACACGTACAATAAATGGTTCTCGGGGATAGAACACAGGCTTGTGACGAACGGTATTTATTTAATTGTATCGCCACGGGAGCAGGTTGGAGATCGGGGATATCCCAACCCCGCGCAGTGGTCAATTCATACTATAAAATCAAAATGAGGAAAGTTACAATACTTAAGTCAAAAACATTAAAAGGTTAGAACATTTTAACAAAAAGATTATTCTCTGCAGGATTGACATTTTGGCAGAGAGAACATCGATTCACAGCCTTCTTTATAAATTATAAATAAATTTTGACTGCTAGGTATCAAATCCCGAAACTGTATTGTTATATGCTAAACAGGTATAAAAGAGCCTATCAAGTCAAAATCACTACGGATTTGTATTGTTTTTCAGGATGTGTCAGAAAAAATGTCCGCACTAAGTCCCCGCAAATTAAAATTAAATACAGTAGAACTCCACTAATTCAATCTCGGCTAATCCGACTTGTCGCATAATCCAACCGTGTCATCGCCTATCAGTTATGATGATGATGTCATTGTTTATTTCACTATTATTTTGACCACGTAGCTTAGTTCCACAGTCTGAGAAAAGTTGATCCACGTCTTTGACGATCACGGGAAAATATGTAACATCTTGCAAACTTGATGTTACATCATTGCCATTGCATCAAACTCCTGAATGTCTTCTGCGGTAACTAAAACATATTTTGAAGGAAGTAGATAAAATATTTGTTTGAAGTAAGTCATTTTAAGTAGACACTCTGGACTAGCACTAACTTCATTCTGTCACTACCCTCACCTATTCGGGAAATATCACTGCATGTCTTCGCGCATCTTTCATTAAAATAATTCAGATTATACAACACTAATATTGTTAAAATTTGTATTACTATGGGGGGGGGGCTGGCTCACTCCCTTATTTTTGTCCGTGTTGAATATCTCACGGTCACGGGAATGTTATCGTCTTCCCCAATCGGTGCTAAATCCTAGACAAAGCCCGCAGTCTTGGGAAAAATCACCCTCAGGTAATTTGTTCTTTTTACTGTTCTGACCATGGTCTCGGTCCCGTAGGTGACAGACTAGCAGAGTTGTGTAAAATGAATACACTTTTTCAACATTCTGTGACACATCTTGAGAGATTTTGAATAATTGTGAAAGGGGGATTGGATATCCTAGAGATCTTATTAGAGGATCTTTGGCTAAAAGCATTGACAGCCTACAGGTATATATAGTCAGGTGTAGGTATATACAGGGTGATTGATATAAGTGTGCCAGCCGTTTTATTCGAAAACTATAAGAGATATCAAAAAAAGTAAAATGGTAAGTGCCTTGGATTTTTTATTTAAAAAATTGTAGTCAAGTCAAAAAAAATATTTTAGCCGCCATTTTTCCAATATGGCCTCCAACTTTGATTTTTCTTATGGAACACCCTGTATTTAATGATGTATTCTGGTAGAAAATGTGATTTTAAGACGATTTTATTCTTGTAAATTTTTTCATAAACCTAACCGTTTCAAAGATAATAATGGTTAAAGTTTTGAAATTTTTGCATGAGAATGAGTTTTGATACAGGCCTAAGCAAGCATGCCAGCTGTTTTATTCTAAAACCATTCAAAATTTCACAACTTAAACCATTATTATCTTTGAAACGGTTAGGTTTATGAAAAAAATCACAAGAATATAATCGTCTTAAAATTACATTTTCTGCCAGAATACATCATGAAATACAGGGTGTTCCGTAAGAAAAATCAAAGTTGGCGGCCATACTGGAAAAATGGCGGCTAAAATAATTTTTTCGACTTTACTACAATTTTTTAAATAAAAAGTCCAAGGCACTTACCGTTTAACTTTTTTTGATATCTCTTATGGTTTTCGAATAAAACGGCTGGCACACTTATATCAATCACCCTGTATAGTCAATGATAAAAGCCAGTGTACATCCTTGTTTAGTTTCAAACCATAAATATCTGGTAGGAGAGTTTTACCAGGTTTGAAGCTGCAGCACCTAATTTGTAGGAAAGCAGTTTTATAAAACAACTCGGTTATCTTTACAATTGCAGTTTATTCCTCAACCTATTTAAGTAACATTTTAGTTAAACAACAATATTCACACTGACACATTACACTCTATTAAATTAAAATAATAGTTTTGCATGTCAAATTCAAATTTCTCTAAGGAAAAGTTTTTGCACGATATCATGAATGTCCATCCGCCTTGCCAACTTCAGTGCTTTCATCAGGTTGACCTTCAACTCTTCAGGTAAAGCTTGATTCTCATATTCGTGAAGCATCTGAAACAGTAGATATTCATCTGATAAGTAGTCAATATTAAGACGAGTGAAAAACTTTATATTTGTTTAAAACAATAATGCATCTTGTAGCCTGTAAAATGTCTGTAACTTCATTTTCTGTCTATTTGATTTCCAAGTCAATAATCTTAGTTTAGTTATTAATGACATGATTAAATTTTACAAACTTTATTCCTCTGAGAATATTTAAATATTTTGGCTCTAACTACAGAGTGTTTTTTTTACACACAACCCAAATTAAAAGTTCTGTGAGACACATTTTAATGACACACAACCACAAATTTTGGTATCCCTTTTTTTCTTTACTTAATTTCCGATCAGGTGATCACCGTTGTTGCATAGTTATCTTCCCAAGAGGTTTTGTGTTATTGGAAATTTATTGTAAATAAGACACAACATGGCGTTTTCAAAATTTCCAAGAGTTAGAATAATATGTTGAAAGAAAATCGTTGGTTTTCAAGAATGGTTTGAAATTAAGTTTCCCGGTGTGATCCGGATTTGAGGATAACTTAAATCTCTAGATTTAAGTGAAAATAAAATCAGGCAAATGGAAATTGGCTTAGTCTGCAGGTTTGCTGCAACGGGCATATTTTTGTTTAATATGGATTCGGTTTTCTTAAATTTGTACAATATTTTAAATTTATATTTCTGTAATTTTGTCACAGTTCCCTTCCTTCAATTATGTGAACCAACATTATTGGTTTGACTTGACAGTAAATTTTCTCAAATTAGGAAACTCTTACTCTATGTTCAGCAAGATAGGTAAATGGCATTTTTTAACAATTGGAGATTCTAACCACAATGTTAATGAAAAATTCAAAACCAGTAATTATTAACAAACAGTAGATATATTGTTTAGATATCATTGAAAAATTGGGATTGTTTTAAGACCTATTTCGGAACACAGAGCTCTATGTTTAGTTATTATCTATTCAAAGTCAAATCTAAAACAAGGAAATAGGCTAATCAAAAACCAAAATAAGAGCCTTTTCAAAAGGTAATTTGTTTTAAGTTTTTAACAAACTTTCTTTTCCAAATAAAAATGAATTTAAAAATACTCACCGCTTTTGCTTTAGCTTTATCGTCAGCAAATCTTGGATCCTGTGATATTTCATGAATTATGCATTCTTGCACCTTTAAATAACGAGCAAAATCTTGCCAACTACTCCCTATTCTTGAGGAAATTTCAGTTACAACTAGAACACAAATGTGTAGGAAAAATAATTACAGTTGTTGCACAAAATAGCTTACATCTAATGCCTGGTTCACACAAGGGACAAATCTACGTACTAGGAAGTCATTAGGTTTTCACTAGAATTGTCGCAGCCCAGCGACACACAAGTTTTCACGATTGATAATTCCAGTGACTAGATTGCAGGTGTGACATAGATTTTGATAATTGTTTTTGAAACATTGATGTTCAATGTTTTACATCGAGGTAGGTGACCATTGATTGACAATTATCAATGTTTTTCTATTAATAAATTAGCTTTAGAATAATGAAAATTAGGTAACAATCAGAATCAATTAAACATTATTGTTAGGCGGTTTCATAGGGAAATTTCAAATTATTTGTAGATACCACTCAGTTGTTTATTAACTGATGTTATGTTTTTGGTATTTTTAGACTTGAATACAATTTACCAAAAAATTCTGTATAGTTTTATAATATTCATTTTTTTATAACAATATTTTAAAATTAACAACTACTGAAGGAAATTTATTAACATTTTTTATTCAAACGCAAGTTCTATTAATTTTATCATTTTAACTCTGATGGTTATTTAAATTAGTTCTGAATTTATAGCACTTCATACAAGCAACAATTGTGCCGAGATATAGTAACTTTGATGCAGCTGGCATCTGTTTCTACGAATAATATATTTTCTGGGGACTTGTAATTTAATGTTTTGTTAAGTCTGAGACCATAATACAACAAACATCCTCCCACGCATTTCCCTTCTTAATTTTGTGGTATTCTGCAAGACAAGTGTTCCAAAGGCATAACCGATTCTTCACTCATTCGACAAAAATATGGATAACAAAACTATATGAGAGCTGCAGCAGCAGCACAACGACCAACTGCACGTGTGAATGCTCTCATATGGCCACATGTACTGCTACTCCGCAGACCTAGTGATTACCTAGAGGTCGTCTGCGGTAACATGCTTGATCACAGCTGCTGTCCAGGGTTGCCACCATAGTGGAATGAAATAATTCATGCCAGTGGCAACCCTGTGTATGTATAAACCTATCGTTTGTAGGGCGTATCTTTGTATGTACGCTCACTTGATTCTGTGGTCTGCTACATAGAGGTTTCAGTTTTAGATGTTACTTTTGGTCTCTAGGGATCTCAAAACAAAAAAGTAAATCGGTCACGAGATCACGTCTTACCATGAGACCTACAGTAATTAGCTTATTCCATAGCCCATATGGAAAACTTGCTAAAAGGTAACAACTAATATAGGCCTAAAATTCACGATCATGAACCATGGGTGATATAGAGTTGATAGATGAAAACGATTAATTCTCATCATATCTCTCTCATCTTACCTCTTTTGTTTAATCTTTGCTGATCTAGGCTGCCATTTCCAATAACACCAGAGGAACTTTGTCTTGGAGGGGAGTAATGAAATGTAGGCACTGTGTTACTGTTGGTAGCCTGAAGTGGGACATCTCCTACAGAAAAAGACATTCCAATCAATATAGTCGAGTAAATCCATACGACAAGCCTAAAAAATGGCTTTAAATTGTTTTATTTAAGACTATTTTAGACTACGAATTATGTGCATTTACCCGGAAATAGTCTAAAGAAATCGGAGATTCGGAAGTTCAAAATTCAAGATAACGTCCAATATTTTGGTCAAATACTTGTATACCGTAATGTCATTTCTTACGAGCTGTCTTCGTGACTAGGTGTGGTGGAGGGGGTGGGTGAAATGTATACAGAACGGCTAGTAGAGAAGAAACCGTGTGCCCAGACTGCTTGTGCTTACTGTAAATTATGTATATGTATCATAAAAAATCTAATCAAGTGTTTAAGATACCTCTTGTGTTTAATCTTTGCTGATCTAGGCTGCCATTTCCAATAACACCAGAGGAACTTTGCCTTGGAGGGGAGTAATGAAATGTAGGCACTGTGTTACTGTTGGTAGCCTGAAGTGGGACATCTCCTACAGAAAAAGACATTTTGTTCAATAAGTTATTCATCCTTCAACTTTAAATATATGATGTAAATATCTAACAATGCCTAGGCTAAACAACCTGTCTTCCAAAGATAAATAACTCTTTTCCTTTCATGAAGGATATAAGACTACAACAACTTATTTGTACACAGTTATGAAGGTTGGTTTCATGTAGGCACAAGTTGGACTAGTTTTATGAAGGCCTATGACATGTACTGAGACCCAAGAGACATGATTATATGATTGTATAATTTCATTTATCAATTATATAATGGTCTTTTTGTTGGAATGAATATAAAATAAAAAAAATAAACCAGCTTAAACTACAATAAACAATCCCTTCAAACAACATTAATCCATAGTAAGCCTTTCAATACATAAGCAAGGTTATTAGAATTGCTATGTGTGTTTGACCATCAAGTCAGATACCAGATACCGGTAAATGCCTAATCTATAGTCCTCGCCACCCTAAGTTGAGGCAGCCCAAGGCCGCACGGCGTATATCTAGTGCGGCCTTTGGCTGCCTCAACTTAGGGTGGCGAGGACTATAGGATGTGTTGTTTCCCCGGGCATGAGAGATGAGATAACTGAGGATCAAGGATTCATAGTGTCATCTCAGTTGTTGCTTTTGATGCACATTGAACAACTCAATAGAAGTCTACACCTTATAGACAAGCTGGTAGGATAGGCTCACAGAAAATAAAAGGTGAAGGATGGAACTGACGGAATTGGTTGATTCTCTTAGTGGTGCCTCTGTCATTAGGAATTTTAGAAAAAAATAGACTTAGCCTAACCAAAACATTGGAAGTAAGCCAAAAATACCTAGGCTAGTAACCTATAACCCATACCTAGCACAGAAAACACACTACTATTACCCAGAATTCTCACCGCGTGTTAAACAGTGTTAAGTACTCGGAGAGAGCTAGGCCTGTCAATTCATGAGTAGCTCCACCAGCATACAATGCACCAGCATAGCGATGCTGGTGGCGCTGCCTACGAATTGACAGGCAAAGCTCTCTCCGAGTACTTAACACTGTTTACCACGTGGTTAGCATTCTGGGTAGGTAATAGTAGTATGTTTTCTGTGCCCATAGGCTCCACTCCTCCTACAATCATCTCCATTCATACATACTTGGCTTTAAATACCTAGCTTCGTATGGTCACAATTTCAATTAAAAGTATTAAAGTAGGATACATAGAGGCTCCCAATAATAACCTAAGTGCTACCTAAGCTTAAAAATATATAGGCTTAGTAGACTAGGTAGACTGTCTTAATTGTTTGGGTTAGGCCTAGTCCTTGATCATTTATCTTAATAATAGATTATTTGTTTAAAGGAGTGTTTAACAAATAAGCTAGGCTAGTTTAGATAAGTTAGTAACTTAGTTAGCCAGTATTTGTTGTCAAGTAATTTCAGGTTAGGTTTTACTATGGTGTACTGTAGGCCCTAGAAGTTTAATCGTTATCCAGGATAGCAATATTAAAGTCAGGTTTACACTGGAGTTTGGAACACCTGTAAGTTACATAAATTACAACAAATGTTCCTAACAAATTAAGAAACACTTGTGGTACTTTTTGGAAAGAAACATTTAATGTTCGGAACAGTTTTTTTGGTGTTTAGACCTAGGCCTACAACATCGTTTCCAGCCAGAAGTCGGTAAAGATCAAAGGTTGTTCCATCCATTTAGAACACAAGTTTTATTATTTCGACACTGTTTACATTAGTTCCTTTCTACCCACCAAACGTCATTCATTCTGTTCTCAAAAAAATTACAGTTAGCCTACATGACTTTCTTAAAAAGTAGGCAAACTGGATATCCTCAAAAAGTTCAAATGATTCAAATGATTTATTTGGCCATTCAGTTCAAAGAAGCTTGTTTAACTCCCGCCCGTCTGCAGTTCTCCTGATAAGGAGGTTGATATCATTCCTATTTATATCATCCAGCAGGTTAGTTCCACTGTATTTTGATCTAAATTGCAGTGACAGTCTCACCAAGTAGGCTACACTGTCTCGGTCTCCGGTTTAGATAAGGTCACACAGGTTGCCGCAGCCAGTTAAAAACATTCTCTCATGTATATCCTGTTTTGTATAGGCCTATCTGTGAATAAATTATCTTTGAATTGCATTGTATTAATCTAACTTAACTTAGTGACCGTCGTGTCCTTGGGACATTGAATTTAATGTTTCAAACCAAATCAAAGAAGCTGCACTATCTATTGTAACTTATTTTAAGGGTAATTCTGAGCAATTACTTGGTCAAACCCAAACTTTTTCATTTTTTACTGTGGTCGTAAGGATGTTCTCAGAAAACAAGAAACATATAATTCAAGCCCCGCAAGGCCATCGTACAGGTTGCCGAGCAATAAAAAGGTTCAAAGTCCACGCGATAACAGTGGCTTGCGGGAGACGCACGGAAGGTCAGTTGTGACAGTCCCGTTATGTTATGTTAGGTTAGGTTAATTGATAACCTGAATCGGGGTTATGATATGTGCATGTTATATCTAGGTTTGGCTTCCGAGCGTCATAACCTAACCCAACCTAACCTAACCTTGCGGGGCTAGAATTATAGGTTTCTTATTTTCTGAGAACATCCTTATGACCGTAGTAAAATAAGAAAAAGTTTGGGGTTGACCAAGTAGGCCTAATTGCCCAGAATTACCATTTTAAGCTTTTGTTAACTTACAAACGAATTAAGAAACACATCTTAAGTACTTAGTAGGTTTACAATAAGTCTTAAAACATTTTGTTCCAAACTCCAGTGTAAGGAAACACGGGTAAATAAATACTGACAAGGATCCTCAATAAGCATAGATTAACTTAAGTTTATGATAAATTTTGGCTACAGGTAAATTAAAGTTCACTTAACATAAGTTATGCCTATTCAATGCGAATTAGGAATTACCTCTGGAATGGACGTTGTGAGTAGGCCTACTCTTGCCTGTATCATGAAGTATTGTTTTATGATAATCCAAATTGTGTGTCTTTATGTTAAGAACACTATAAATATATTCTAAGACATGAATGTCCGTTGGTTGTAGCTCACACCTTTTTTCTAAAACTTTCAAAAGAGTATGAAGATCATTGATATACTCAAAAGTTCTAGGGGAATTTATTACTCCCTCATATTTTCTTTTGATAGTTGTAAGAATATTCTGGTTTTCACATCTCTCGCTTGCGGACTGGTATGTTGATAAGGCCAAAAGCTTACAACTTTCATAACTAGCAAGTTGTGATTCCTCAGTGTTTTCCATGACTTTAAGCTTTAAGTTAACTCATATCAGTTGGTCCTGGTTGTAACCTATCAGGCCTTGTTTATGCTCGGCCCTCTCATATACTTGCTAATTTGCCTAAACTTAGAGTTGCCTTGCTTCAGGTTTTGTTATAATTATTAATAACTGAGTTTAATTGATAAGAACAAGAATAACATTTAACCTGCATCAAACCTTGGTCCAAGATAAGGTACACTAGCCTAATCTTTTAAAACTGACTCAAATATCACTGATTTATTGCAAACTATATAAGACGATTTATTAACGAATAGCAATGCATTAAGTTGAATCATATTCAACTACAATTTGGCAAAAATAAAATTAACCGTAACGAATAAATACGGAACATTAAAAAATAACACAATTTCATGACATAAATAAAACAAAACAATGCACTTGCACTTGGCGTGTCTGTCTGCGAGTGCGTGAGCGTGAGTCGAGTTCGAGTGTGACCGTGACGTTTATTTTTTGTGATCACTCACTGATCACGTGGTTCCTTTTTTTGGTTCTAATTGCCTATAATGTGATCTGGGAATTTTTATCCATGAAACTACGATGTCTTTATGGTTGTCCAATTGCTTTTATTCTCCTCAGTCTTTATCCTTTTAGCAAATTTCCCATATAGGGATTAACAATGTCATTGAAAATGACTTTGTCTTGGACGGAGCCTTGCTGGAAAGATGCAGTTACAAGAAGGACCTTGGTGTCACTACTCACTAATTGACTCCTCCTTTGAGTTTGACCAGCACTTTAGCAACATATGTGTCGAACAGTAAATGATGGGCTAGACTCCGTAGCAACAACCATCTTGTACAAGTCCCTTGTCCTTTTAGACCAGCTAGAGTCAGTCCAGAGACGATTCGTTAGGTTCCTGAACCGCCAAGATTGGTTCAATTACTTAGAAGTCCCCATCGATATTGTTTCAGAATCCTACGGATTGCAGGTTGCAGCCATTAGCATGCAGAAAACAAGTGGCAGATGTGTCCTTCCTCTTCAAGCTCTTCAACAGCAAGGTAGTCGCCCGTACCTCCTGAAGAAGATCAATATCAGGGTGCCCACTAGGACTAGGGAACACTCGGAACAGCTTTTTTGTGAGCTGGAACATGCAGAAAAAAGCTACCTCCAGCACAGTGCTATTATCAGGCTCATACGATCCGGCAATCAGTAGTCCTTAACCCTCTTCTGTGACAGCCTCGCAGCCATCAGACGCTCGGCCACCGGGTCCTATAGCCCCCTGCCCCCGAAGCCTAGTGTGCCACTTATTGTTATTTGTTAATTTTCATACCTTTATTTTTGTATTTTTGTTAATTTTGCTATGGTTGAGTTACTTTGTTAATGTTATCATCGGATATTTCCATTGTTGTTGTTTTCATAGATGTCATGTTTCATCGCTGTATTGTTTCTCTAGTCATGTTCAGATTTAATTTTCCTGTCACTGATGTTGTTTTTGAAATGTTGAATCAATTTAGATTTAAGTTTTTTGATAGCATTGTTATTACATGGTCATTATATATATATCCACTTTGTAAATTAATAATATTGCCGTTGGAATAAATATAAATAAACTAATAAATGTAATGGTCATATTATACATATCAAAATTGTAAATTGGTGATTTATGCTGTTGGATTAAATAAATAAAAATAAAGAAATAAGATGTTACCGTAGGTCTCATTGACCTGGATCTGGGACGGATTTACTTTTTGTTTTGAGGTCCATAGAGGCCAAAAACACAATCAGTTCAAATTCTTATATATATTCATGTGTCCGTTAGCACGATAATTCGAGCAAAAATGATCCGATATTGATGAGGTTTGGTATAAAAGTGTAAACCTAAATTTATTCGAACGAGTTCGCGGACCAGCATGATCGGGCTATTTAGGAACGAGGGTTTATATGGTAAAAATGGTTTTTTTTTATAGTTTTTGACCCTAAACATATACAGGGTGGAACGAAGTTAGTGTTAAAAATTTGTATGTGTTAAAACTACTTAGTATTTGTGACAAAATGGCACTAATTTAGATTTCTACACCCTTACAGGTAGGGAATAACAGACAAATTATGATTTTTTCAAAATATTTGTATTTTCTTACATAAAACGGCCATAATGCACAACATTTTTTTTGAAATATTATTATAATTTTCAGAATCCTTCAATAGTAATAGTACAGAGTCACTGTGATGAAACATCTGTTTAAAACGGAAGTTTAAATTGTGTGATATTTGAGAAAATTGCAAAAAACCTTTACATAAGTTTTTAACCAACCTCCATTTTATGAGTGTTTTAGAATGGAAAAGCGATTAATAGACGTTTTTATTTTTGACATAAAAAAGAGACACTAGTTTAGGCAGGAGTTGCAGCGTTTTACGCCTCAGAAAAATGGCTTGTGGTATACATTCTGAATCCTGTAGCTCATAGAGTAAGTTTAGATAGAAAATGCAAAGTATAAATAAGTTTGCTAGGTTAGTTTTCGGAAGGAATTAATTGTTTTGTTTAGGCTACTTAAAATATCATCATTATATGATTGCAAGAAAATCATCTTGAGGAAGGATATGTCTCAAAATTAGCATTTTATATATTGACCCTTATAATTTTTTCTCATTCACATGATTTGATTATAATAATCTGAAAGTATAAAATATTATAGCTTTGATAGCCACATATGCCATTACTTTTAAATTTTGATACATTTTTAATATACGCTCTTTATCTACTGCTTCATTGAACAGTTTTGGTTTTCAATAGTCTTTTGCACCATATTTCCATTCTATATATGCTGAATTTTTGTTTTGTAAATTTTCCTAGAAAATAACATTGGATTTTCAATGCTTGTGATCTTAAACAATACGTTATACCAGTCCCTCCTACGGTTGGTTAAATATGGCCAGTGGGGCTGGTCCCTACCACTGAAGTAACAAGGGCAGGTTTGAAGCTTCGGAGGTGGCTGGAGACGAGCCTGGGCGCTGAGGAAGGTGCGGACACAGACAATATAATATTCCATTGTCTGTGGTGCGGACCTCTTCATGAGCACCAGGTAACTTACCCCAAAGGAAGAACGGGAATCCGGCAGCAAGGAGGCAGGGAAGGGGAGGTTTCTGAAAGTGGCATAAGCCATAACTTAGGTATTATTTTTCTTTCCTATTAATTAACGTAGTCGCAAGTCAACAAACAGAAAATATACAAGACAACCAAATTCACACCAAAGTTCGGCGGGAGGATGAATTTACCTATTTTTTCGTAATTGATGACGATTATTAAATGAAATTTTTACAATTTATTAAGTAATTCAAATGTCGCACAAACACGAAAGCCAATAACATACTTAAATAATGCAACAAGTAGGCATATCGGTAGTTTATATGGTGGCTTAAAACTAGTTTGAATTAAGTTGATGCAGTTTTCCGTAGGCCTATAGCACTACAGCATAGACTCACGGCTTTCATTAACTCAGCAGTTCAAAAAATTCGACCGAATTTTGCAGAAAAAAAGAAGTTTTAAGTCCAAAGCCTGTCAGGAAAATACGATGAAAAACAGACATTGATAGCCATTTTTACGAAAAATGTTCTGTATTTGTTCTTGTTCTTATTGCTTTAACTCTAATAATTTTCTTTATTTATAATTCCAAAAGTAAATTCATACAAATTTAGAAAATATAATTAAGTTTTCAAAGCATAACTATTTTGTTGGCAATGGCTACAAGCCTAGAACTTTCAAAGTGGAACTCAGCTATTATGTATACCAATGTGGAAAATAGACAAAGTCGTTTGGGAAAGGGACATGCGCTCAATAAAAACAAAACACTTGTCTTGTATTACAGCGTATCAAGAAATTTACGACCAAATTTTAATTGGTGAGTTATTGAATAAAAACACAACTTAAACATTACGACAAAATCCTTAGAGTAAAGGAATCAATGAAAGTAACAAAATTAAATATATTGAATATTTAAGCTGCGAAACAACTCAGGTGTCAAAGAAAAAGCTGGGTTAGCTCAGCGAAGTTGAACGTTGAACGAAGAGTTGTGGATGGCGGAGGTAAAGGCTTTAGCAGGCTTCCGCTTGGTTGAAGCTCATACATTAAACATCGTGTCGAGCTCTCCTGGTAGAGTTAGGAATCTTTCAACCTGAACTCTGCTGAGGCTAAAACGTAGCGCAATTTATCTAGAATTGTTTTACTTTCGGATGACTGTTTCGTACGTAGTAAAGTAATCATTTGTTGCTGTAATGACAACTAATTTCCGTTATAATGTTTGTCGTCTAAGTTTCAAGAACTTGAATTATATTAGATTTACCTTTGGTTTCGTTGCCTGCGTTCTTGCAGTTAAGATGTTTTTGTCATCCTCCTAGGATATAGTGTTAGTGATAAGAATCCACTGATGATTCCACAAGATGGAGAAATGTCTAGTTTGACACAATCATCTTACCTACAAGAACGCAGGCAACAACAAAGGTATATCGAATACTTTCCGTTTTTAGATTGCACCACAATCTTAACATCTTACACAAAGGGTCACGCAGTTTAGTAACTAGCCTATTAGAATTATTTACTAAAAAAATTATAGGTCTCTGGACTGTGCGTAGAATCAGCAAATCAAAGTGTCAGCAGATTCAATACAAGAGTGAACTGTGCTGATAAAATTTAGTGTTTGGCATTAAGACTAGAAGCCATGAGCATCGTTACCATGGATTCGCAGGCGGCGGCCTCCGTACCAAATTTGCAACCCAAATACTCCCCAAATACCAAATATTAAAAAATATTATTATTATACCTTATTAAAGCCATAATAAACCACCTATACAAGTAAACAATTAACATATATTTCAGATGGTCAAACATTCGCAATCTATATTATGTGATTGTTCCCTATTTAATCACTGGTACTTGAGGTTCCACAGACCACTAAACCCAACGAAGATGTAATCACTCAACGAGGGAAAGAAGGGAGATCAGCTGACTGAGTCAACAATCAATTCAGCAGCTGACGACATTAGCAACAATATGGCCGCTAGGGCTGCATTACTTGATTAGCTCTTGGGTTTACCCTTAGAGGACCACTACACTCACAATCATCAACGATCAACAACAGACGAGTTAAAACAACATAAACTTGAAGGATTGTTTTAATATGTATTTGAAAATGTTACACTATATGTCAGGGGCGTGAGGCGAGAAGTTTATATATTGTTGTTGTTACAGTAATTAGACATCCAAATATACGTAATAACGATAAATTAATCGTTTCACATACATTTCGTATGAAAACGAATCTGTACATTAATGTACTTCAACTTCATACTAGCATACACAACACAATAAGCTATGATTGATACTATATCTGGACCTTGATTCTGTCCCTTCCCAACATATCCGAACATACCAT